GAAACCACCTCTGGCTTGTATAGGTAAATATGATGCTCCGGCTCTGGGTCTGGGACTGGGAGATAAATTAAAGCCTGTACCGTATGTACGTGCTCGCACGTGTGTGTTTAATTGTTCAACGCATTTTGCTAATACAAGGTGGTGTTTAAATTTATGCACTAAAGTTTAGAGGTGTCACATTATGTGTCATATCGGGGTGTCGCATGGAAGTGTTCGGATAGTAAGGTTACAGAAGCCCTTAGTACTCCGCGAGACGAATTTATTAAGCCTAATTAATCCGTCAGTAGCACATGTTTACTGTTTTTTACTATAGCACTACATTGTCAAATCATGGACTAATTAGGCTTACAAATTTTGTTTCCCAAATTAGTCACAATCTACACAATTAATTATTTTTTAGTCTATATTTAATACTCTATACATGTGTCAAATATTCGATGTGATAAAACTAAATTTTAGGGAAGGAACGTATGACACACACAAATTAAATGCAAGGATCGATGTTGAGAGTTGATCGATGGCGTGACGTGATATATGTTGAACAGTTCCGTAACTTCCATTCCGTGGTCAATTATGCAGGCGGCGCACGACAAAATCTTCGCCTCTTATTAGACTGCAGGTGCATGACGACGGCGGCGAAAATTATTAGCGGGTACTCTGGAACCTAATACTCTTTGTAAATGCATCTACGGAGCAGACAATTGGGAGCCAGAATTTACGAGACCACCAAAATGACTTGGACTTTGACCAGTTTCCGTCTTATTTCGAAATCTCTTTTCCATTCCATTGAAATAATTTGAACTTATTGTACCCTCAACTCTATATGGGACGGGCAGAAGACCATTTTGGTTTCCCCATGGGACTTGGCTAGGCAGGAGAGCAAAAATGGTCTTTCTATGATATGGAGTATGTTAGGATCCATCCAACTAAGAGCAACTCCAAGAGCTTCTCTATATTCTTATGTATTGATATGAATATAGATATTTTGCTTAAAAAAGCCCACCAACAACTTGTTCAATTTGATCTCCAAATATTAATTACCATCTTATATTTCTGGTTTCTCGCTAGTCAAAGGTGAAGAGCGGGTATATCCTCCAAAATGTGCACAAGATACCGAGATGATTCAGAAAGTGCATTTAACAAAGACTCTCGTAGATGCTCTAGCAGTTAGGTGCGTTTAACATATGGCTAATAGATAACTAGCTAATATCAGTTGTGACCTTTTAGCTTACTATTACTCCATTCCAAAAATAATGCAATCCTATATATGAACCAAGTTAAATTTTCACAAGTTTGACTAAGCTTATAGAAAATAATATCAACATTTATGTCTCTAAACATGTTACTATGAAAATATATATTCTACAATTAATCTAATGATACTTATTAAATGTCAATAGTTCTTATAGATTTATCAAATTTAAAATTAATTGACTATCTAAAAAGCGAGGATCTTTTTTTTGTCACTGAGAAGTCCAAATAGGGACTAAGAGCATCTCCACCGGATATCATATTCAATATCCTATACTTAAAAAAGTATAGGAGATGATATGCTGCAACAGATCTCCTATCTCATTTTCTATATCTATATTTTTTTAATTAATCTCCTAAAAGAAGCATCATCTTTCTAAACAAAGGAGACAACACTCTCTCCCCTAACCCAAGTTTTAGGCAATTTGCTGCAGCGGCACTCTCATGTATCCTAAATTTATTAAAGGATACTCTCTTAAAACAATTTATGGAAGATGTAATATAAGAGATCAGATGTTCTAAGAGAGTAAGACGGAACATACCAGCAAGCTTTTCTGTCAGCTCAAAAGCTAGTTTCCTTCGCTCGGCCGCTGCGCCGATGATCCTCAGCCGAAACAAGAAACGCTAACAAACTATGCATGCTTTTTGTTTCCTGTGGACACTGGATACATACGTAGAGTGCAGGAGAAAACGCCGTGTGCACATAAGCAGCGGCGATGAATGATATCATGCGAGACATGGAGGCTGGACGACACGGGTTTTGTGCTCCTCAGGCTGCTAGTGTCATCAGGTGCTTGCTTGGCAGCCGTGGTCCGTTGCCTTGCCGATGGAGCCACCGGATTTTGCTCAATGTGGTGTCAATCATACGAGACGAAGGGTGATGCAGTATCATTCTAATCAAAGAGCCAAAGGATGCTAGTCCAGTTAAATAGCAGTTTCGAAGGCACCCTTCAGGTCCTGACTTCGAACTTCCATGGGAGCAAATTTCAGACTGAGGGTTAAAAAATCCTCTCGCTCGCCCCAGGCCAAAGGACAGGTTAAGAGACGGTCCTTCTCACGGGTGGCGGCTCCCTACGTATAGATGGGGCAGGGTTCGGGAATTTTCTCGATTTATGTGAGAAGACCTACTTTTTAATCACAATACCGTGGGGGGCAGTCATGACCCCCGCAGGCCTGAGTTTTTTTTTACTCTAATCAAAGAGTCTTTAGGGACCAACAGCCTAGATACTACCATAGGCCACCTTACTTAGCGTGCATTGCCTATTGAGATGGATCATGCATGGCTGCGCCTCGTCGTCCATTTGGGTTTCAAATCATCTGGCGAGCATCTACCTGTTGTTAGTGTTTGTTTTGTCATGCCAATGGTGCATAGTTTTTAAGGCGGTAAGGTGAGGTGCGGCACTCCACCCCCTTCCAGATGCCTAGGCAAATTAAGCGCGCGAGCGGCGACGCCATACACATACACCAACCTTCCATAGGATAGCACAAACATACACTTATACATAGGAGAAACGAGCAAAGCAGAGAAAGCAAAGTGGAGCAGAGCGGAGAAAGCAAAGGAAGAAGGGGGAGGAATAGGAGAGCCGCAGAGCAGTAGAGGAAAGAGGAGGGGATGACGTACCTGCCAATCGCGCGGTTGCAGAGCAGAGTCGCAGTTGGGGACGGGGCCGGAGTTGGTCGCGGGGCTGCTCGCGGGTTGCGGCGGACGGAGCGGGAGTCGGTCACAGACAGGGCTGGAGTCGAGGACGGGACGGAGTCACGCTCGCGCAGTCGGGTCGCGGATGGGCCGGAATCGCGCGGGGCTGTCGCCTGCGCTGCCGCCCTCCTCTCTCTTCCTCTCTCCTTCCTTTCCCTCTCCCTCTCCCTCTCCCTCTCTCAACTGACGTGATGGGGATTGGGTTGGTGGGAGGTGTAGGCGCGCGGCTACTTCTCTTCTCGCACGTGCGCGCATCGCTCCGCTCTTTTCCCGCGCGAGCTCGCGGCGCCGCTTTTCCCGCGCGCTTTTCCGTCCCGCGGCATCCGCCTCAGCAAAATCGACGCCTTCAGCTGCTAGGCGACGCCATACGCGATGAGGGCGCGGCGACCGCGACTCCCCGTTTGGAATCCCGCTCGGACGACTAGGCAACGTCGTAAAAACTATGCAATGGTGTACGGGTCCTCTGCTTGTCTAGTCTTCGCAATTCCTCAGCTATGCCTACCAGTCTTCGTGGGCATCAAACTATTAAGGATAGTATAGTTGTTTCAAATCCTCGTAGCTACTCCCTCTGTTCCAAAGTACGATTTGTTTTATGGCCCGTTTGGCATGGCTCCTTTTCAAGTGCTTCTCTGGAGAAGTCGGAGCACTTGAGGAGTCACCTTCTGTGGCTCCGGCTTCTTGCCTTAAAATGGCTCGGACTCCTCTATTGTTTATCAAAAAATAGATTCTCCTAAGAAAAAAGTTTGGCCAAGCTCCTCCACAAAAGTTGCTGCTGGAGAGCCGGAACATGACAAACAGACCCTTAGTTCGAAGCCTCTCAAAATTTGACCTGCAAAATGCACCAGTATCTACATAAATTTAGCTTCTTCAAATCCACCAAGAAATTAAATATGTCTTGTACCTATTCCCCGGCATAACATGAATTCTGACTTGACTTCGCGAGCAGCGAGGAGCTAGAGTATGGGTTATCCGCTGCGTTATACACTTTGCTTCCCTCGTGTATGGGTTTGTTAGTCGTCCATAACGTGACTCGAAATGATTTAGGAATTGTGTAATTTGTGAATGACGACTGTCCGTATGTACTACAAATACTGTACCCTGTAATAATAGTTGATGGACGGTGAATTTGATTATCGCCTACTGAGTAGTAGCTGTCATTCTACGCTCTATTCAGTATTCACACTACGTAAAGGCTGCCGCCAAAGGTTTCGGGGTGCGGTTAACACTCACCAACGACACATACTGCGCGAAACAAGAGGCGGGAGAATAAAACACACGTATTAGAATTGTAGATTGGCTAAAAATTACACGACGATGATGATTGATGGCTTACGTTTGAATGACCATTCATTAGCGAATCAGGGACGGCTCGATTAGTACGATGATGTGAACACGGTTTCTCCAGGATGGACGAACCGCAACAACCGGTCGTCATTGCCAAGGACAGATTACCGGAGCGAGCAGAACCTAGGACCAACCGACAAAAATTCGTCGAGACGACGTACGAAGCCAGATCAGCTGTGAACAAGGATGAAGCCAAAGTAGCACTCAGTCCTTTGTCACAATGGTTAGCTAATTTTTACACGGGAGACGGGCGAGACGCAAGCTCGTCGTGTTCTGACTGACGGACAGCGCGCGCAGCAGCCATGTGCGGTGTGAAATGCGCCGCCGTCACGCGTCACGGCAGCAAATTTCCAAATCCCCCTAGGTTGGATGCATGCATCATCTATCATTGCTTAGGGCCAGTTTAGTTCTCAAAAATTTTGTCAAATACATGAAATCCAAAATAGGGTAGCAGCACACAAAAATGTTGACACCAAAATTTTTTGCATTTTGCTGTTTAGTTGTCAAGAATTTTGCATCGATATCGGCATTGAATAGTAGATTTCGGTTGCATTAATTGTGTTCCATGCAAACTGCATGATCACTCCTCATCCAACATTCAACATTCAGAGCATTCACATTCAACAAAACTGTCATCCCTATTACATCAGGCTGTGCTCAAGCATTCACAGAAGCCGTAACACATTGTACTATACAAACATGTATTGAATCACACAAAACTGTCAATTACGATCCATCAGAGCATTAGCAAGCGAATCACGGATGGCATTCATGCATGACCACTCCTCATCCTCCACTACCTCGGGTTCAGGTTGATTCTGATAAGCTTGTCTTGGCACAAAGTTCTCATTTCGGTCACACCTACCGAAATGCTTATCTGGTAAGCCACTAGTCCTCACAAAATTATGAAGAGTCATACATGCACAAATGATTTGGGCTTGCTTCTCAGGTGAATAAGGAGGGATCTTTTGCAAGATCCGCCACTTCATTTTCAGTATCCCGAATGACCTCTCAATAACATTCCTAAGAGAAGAGTGTGTGTAATTGAAGAGCTCTTCTTTATGTTCTAGCTCGGGCCCGTCGCGGAAGTCCTGGAGATGGTACTTGGTTTCCTTGTATGGAGCAAGATAACCCAGCCGGTTAGGATACCCGGAGTCCACTAGATAGTATTTGCCTACAACAGTAAACAAATTATGAGCAACAGGTACATAACCCACAAGGAACAATTGCACTCATGTGTACCTACGTACCATTTGGTGGATGTGGAAAGACTGTGGAGTATGTTGTTGTTGAATCATTGAACACTCTCATGTCATGAACAGATCCAGGCCAGCCAGCATTAACAAATGTAAACCTCATGTCGAAGTCACAACAGGCCATTACATTTTGTGTAGTGATGCTCTTGCGGCATGAGTGCTGAATAAACAAATGGTTTGGCACGACACAAGGGATATGAGTCCCATCTATAGCCCCTATGTAGTTCTTGAAGTAGGGATAAAATCTACTACTTCTTAGTCTAGGATGCATTGTTCTGAACTGTGGATCTACTGGCTTAATATTGTCTGTAGCAAGCCTGACCAGACACCTCAAAACTTTGGTAAACATTGTTGAAACAGTGTCCAATGACCTCTCAAACCTGTCCTCTGCTTGCCTAACAGACTGTGGTGCTCCGACCATCCAAAGAAACATCCCTAAAGCCTCTACAGATGTGGACTTAGTGGTAGACTTGAGCCCATATTTGTCCACTAACAAGTTATGAAGGCTATGGAACATTGTTGGGGTCATTCTAAACATGTTGTAACAAGAATTAATGTTGTCAAGCTTATCATGCACCCACTGGAAACCACTAACTCTTGGAGTCCTATACTGAGCCCTATTCATATACTTGTCAATGTGCACAGCAAACTGGTACATACCATGGAGAAACTCATCATTCTCGTCATCATTCATTAGCTCTTCCATCAACTCATCATCATCATCATCATCCAATATCATCTGCAGCAACTGTTGTCTTCTTGCATCTTGATCATCATCACCAACCTGTCATGGACAGAGACAAGAGCAAGTCAGTCATTTGATCAAACAGCCCATGAATCCCATGCATCACTCCCTGTCATCCCACATGATCAAGTTTCAAAACAGCACATATATCCATTCCACAAGTTAATATAGGAAAACAGCAAATAAACCCATCATACGCACTGCACCAAATGCCCTACATGCAACGGGACACAACAGACCCTTAGTTGGAAGCCTCTCAAAGTTTGACCTGCAAAATGCACCAGTATCTACATAAATTTAGCTTCTTCAAATCCACCAAGAAATTAAATATGTCTTGTACCTATTCCCCAAGATAACATGAATTACGACTTGACTTCATGAAAGGCAAAATGATTTAGCTAGAGTATGGGTTATCAATTGCGTTATACACTTTGCTTCCCTCGTGTATGGGTTTGTTAGTCGTCCATAACGTGACTCGAAATGATTTAGGAATTGTGTAATTTGTGAATGACGACTGTCCGTATGTACTACAAATACTGCACCTATAATAATAGTTGATGGACGGTGAATTTGATTATCGCCACTCGAGTAGTAGCTGTCATTCTACGCTCTATTCAAGATTCACACTACGTAAAGGCTGCCGCCAAAGGTTTCGGGTGCGGTTAACACTGCATTGACGACACATACTTGCTGTGAAACAAGAGGCGGGAGAATAAAACACACGTATTAGAATTGTAGATTGGCTAAAAATTACACGACGATGATGATTGATGGCTTACGTTTGAATGACCATTCATTAGCGAATCGGGGGCGGCTCGATTAGTACGATGACGTGAACACGGTTTCTCCAGGATGGACGAACCGCAACAACCCGGTCGTCATTGCCAGGGACAGATTACATCGAGCGAAAGTAAACCTAGGACCAACCGACAAAAATTAAATCGAGAGGACGTCGCGAAGCCACGAGATCAGGCAGTGAACAAGGATGAAGCCAAAGTAGCACTCAGTCCTTTGTCACAATGGTTAGCTAATTTTACACGGAGAGGCAGGCGAGACGCAAGCTCGTCGTGTTATTCGACCGACGGACAACAAGGCAGCAAAGCAGCCCATGTCTTGGTTGGATGCATGCATCATCTATCATTGCTTAGGGCCAGTTTAGTTTTCCAAAAATTTTGTCAAATACATGAAATCCAAAATAGGGTAACAGCACATTAAAATACTGACACCAAAAGTTTTTGCATTTTGCTGTTTAGTTGCTAAGAATTTTGCATCGATATCAGCATTGAATAGTAGATTTCGGTTGCATTAATTGTGTTCCATGCAAACTGCATGACCACTCCTTATCCAACATTCAACATTCAGAGCATTCACATTCAACAAAACTGTCATCCCTATTACATCAGACTGTGCTCAAGCATTTACAGAAGCTGTAACACACTGAACTATACAAACATGTATTGAATCACACAAAACTGTCAATTACGATCCATCAGAGCATTAGCAAGCGAATCACGGATGGCATTCATGCATGACCACTCCTCATCCTCCACTACCTCGGGTTCAGGTTGATTTTGATAAGCTTGTCTCGGCACAAAGTTCTCATTTCGGTCACACCTACCGAAATGCTTATCTGGTAAGCCACTAGTCCTCACAAAATTATGAAGAGCCATACATGCACAAATGATTTGGGCTTGCTTCTCAGGTGAATAAGGAGGGATCTTTTGCAAGATCCGCCGCTTCATTTTCAGTACCCCGAATGACCTCTCAATAACATTCCCAAGAGAAGAGTGTGTGTAATTGAAGATCTCTTCTTTACGTTGTGGCTCGGGCCTGTCGCGGAAGTCCTGGAGATGGTACTTGGTTCCCTTGTATGGAGCAAGATAACCCAGCCGGCTAGGATACCCGGAGTCCACTAGATAGTATTTGCCTCACAAAGACAAACAAATTATGAGCAACAGTACATAACCCACAAGGAACAATTGCACTCATGTGTACCTCACGTACCATTTGGTGGATGTGGAAAGATCATGGGAGTATGTTGTTGTTGAATCATTGAACACTCTCATGTCATGAATGTATTCAAAGCAACCAAGATTAACAAATGTAAACCTCATGTCGAAGTCACAACAGCCATTACATTTTGTGTAGTAATGCTCTTCTTGCACAAGTGCTTGAATAAACAAATGGTTTGGCACGACACAAGGGATATGAGTCCCATCTATAGCCCCTATGCGCTTCTTGAAGTAGGGATAAAATCTACTACTTCTTAGTCTAGGATGCATTATTCTCGAATCAGGATCTCATCGGCTTAATATTGTCTCAAGCAAGCTGACTGAGACACCTCAAAACTTTGGTAAACATTGTTGAAACAAAGGCCCAATGACCTCTCAAACCTGTCCTCCGCTTGCCTAACAGATCTGTGGTGCTCCTACCATCCAAAGAAACATCCCTAAAGCCTCTACAGATGTGGACTTAGTGGTAGACTTGAGCCCATATTTGTCCACTAACAAGTTATGAAGGCTATGGAACATTGTTGGGGTCATTATAAACATGTTGTAACAAGAATTAATGTTGTGAAGCTTATCATGCACCCAATCGGAAACCACTAACTCTTGGAGTCCTATCTTCGAGCCCTATTCATATACTTGTCAATGTGCACAAGAACCGGTACATACCATGGAGAAACTCATCATCCTCGTCATCATTCATTAGCTCTTCCATCAACTCATCATCATCATCATCCAATATCATCTGCAAAGAATCGTTGTCTTCTTGCATCTTGATCATCATCACCAACTGTCATGGACAGAGACAAGAGCAAGTCAGTCATTTGATCAAACAGCCCATGAATCCCATGCATCACTCCCTATCATCCCACATGATCAAGTTTCAAAACAGCACATATATCCATTCCACAAGTTAATATAGGAAAACAGCAAATAAACCCATCATACTGCATAACAAGTTCAAATGTAACTGACACAACACAACAGGACACAGCAAGTTCATACGCCCTGCACTAAATGCCCTACATGCAACGGGACACAACAGACCCTTAGTTGGAAGCCTCTCAAAGTTTGACCTGCAAAATGCACCAGTATCTACATAAATTTAGCTTCTTCAAATCCAACAAGAAATTAAATATGTCTTGTACCTATTCCCCGGCATAACATGAATTCTGACTTGACTTCGCGAGCAGCGACGAGCTAGAGTATGGGTTATCCGCTGCGTTATACTCTTTGCTTCCCTCGTGTATGGGTTTGTTAGTCGTCCATAACGTGACTCGAAATGATTTAGGAATTGTGTAATTTGTGAATGACGACTGTCCGTATGTACTACAAATACTGTACCCTGTAATAATAGTTGATGGACGGTGAATTTGATTATCGCCCACTGAGTAGTAGTTGTCATTCTACGCTCTATTCAGTATTCACACTACGTAAAGGCTGCCGACAAAGGTTTCGGGGGTGCGGTTAACACTCACCAACGACACATACTGCGCGAAACAAGAGGCGGGAGAATAAAACACACGTATTAGAATTGTAGATTGGCTAAAAATTACACGACGATGATGATTGATGGCTTACGTTTGAATGACCATTCATTAGCGAATCAGGGACGGCTCGATTAGTACGATGATGTGAACACGGTTTCTCCAGGATGGACGAATCGCAACAACCGGTCGTCATTGCCAAGGACAGATTACCGGAGCGAGCAGAACCTAGGACCAACCGACAAAAATTCGTCGAGACGACGTACGAAGCCAGATCAGCTGTGAACAAGGATGAAGCCAAAGTAGCACGCAGTCCTGTGTCACAATGGCTAGCTAATTTACACGGGAGACGGGCGAGACGCAAGCTCGTCGTGTTCTGACTGACGGACAGCGCGCGCAGCAGCCATGTGCGGTGTGAAATGCGCCGCCGTCACGCGTCATGGCAGCAAATTTCCAAATCCCCGTGGCCTTATTTAGATTGGGGCTAGGAATCAGTATTTGGCACTGTAGCATTTTCATTTGTATTTAACAATTATTGTCCAACCATGGTCTAACTATGCTCAAAAGATTCGTCTCGTAATTTACAATCAAACTATATAATTAGTTATTTTTTTATCTATATTTAATACTCCATGCATATGTCTAAAGATTTAATGTGATGGAGAGAGTGAAAAAACTTACAATCTAAACGAGGCTAGGTTGGATGCATGCATCATCTATCATTGCTTACTTGCATCCGAGCGTTGCCAGAGGCACATGCCGAGGTGCAGCCAATTCGCGTCGCGCCGCCCTGCCATGCCACCAACCCGCTTGACTTCACTTGAGCACTGGAGCTTAGCCCAAGCGACAATGCATCCATCAACCTACTCCTGCGTTGCAGGTTTCATGCCCGGCTGACAGCAGCCAGCGCACTTTGGAACCCAGGTTTTCCTCCTATACTTGTCGCGCAGTGGCGGCCGGCCAATTTTTTCACCACAACAACGAAGGGGAAACTGTTTTTTGAATGCCCGCTACACCTTTCCAACACGCTAGCGACAGCTCCTTCGGCTCTTCTAAAAAACAGGGCTAGACGTCGTGCATACCAACATTTGGATGAGACCTATCTATTCATCTTGTGTTCATGCATGGCTGTCTGAAGAGAAGAGAGGATCCGAGGAGCTGGAGAGGACCACCACCGCCGATTTGGGTCTTGGGTGGGAAGGTTCCAATCACACGACTCCCAACCAAGAGGGTGGGCGTCCAGCTACATGATTGATGCCAAACAAAAGTCGCGATAGACAGACGGGTCTACGTAACGGCCTACACATCGCGTCCAGGTCCAGCTCACCAGTCCGGCCTACCTTTGGACCTGGAGCCCCCGTCCCAAAGAGACCCCTTTGACCGCCCACCACTCGCGACCTCGGAATTCTCTAAAATGGAGCCTACCGGTATTCTTCTCCCGTCCACTTGCCATGCCGATCGATGCCACCAAAGCTGGGCACGGGCAGGCACGCCATGGAACGTACTACAACGAAGACTACACACAGCCAAGCCGGCCTGATCCTCGCTTCTTTCGGCGCCAGGTCGACCTTGGATGGTTACAGCTCTGGCAGAACTGGACCAGACCGAAACGGAAACGAGGCCTCGCTTTCAGGGACAGCAAGGGTACAACGCAGCAACTAGACTAGAAGTTGGCGTCCAGGCCCAGGCAGCAGAGCAGAGCACCTGGGGTTCACTGAATCGGCAAAGGGTTATTTACCTCACACGAGGTGTCGCCTCCTGTCAGGTGCCGACACGCACCGCTGGTCTCGGGCTCAAGCAACCCACAGGCAGGCAGGCATGGATGGATACATCGAACTGCAGATCGAGATCAAAACTGCCGCTAGGCTACATGTCGCCCTCTGCGAAAATTACACTTAGCATCCTGAAACCGGCCAGGTGCCAATCCACACCAGGTTCCTGTCCACCTAACTAGGACGACTACTTGCCACATCTCATGGGCACCTACCATACCATGAGCAGCGCCGGCAGCAGCTTTGTTGCGCCTCGCTTTGCACTTGTGGGGCTGGCTCACACAACAACATTGCGAGGTAGATAGATGCCGGGCGAAAGATTTCCTTTCGCTGTTTCCGCCGGCAGGGAGAGGACAGCTAGCGTCAATACCTGTAGCCGCCACTCTCGGCAGCATATTTGCTCCTCATGTAGGGATCGTACTTCGGATCACTGTAATCAGCAGGCTTCACTTCCGCGGGCTTCAGCTCAGGATGGGCGGCGGCCCCGTAGGCGACCTCCCCGCTCTTCTCACGGTGGTGAAGACGGTGGCGGAGCCTGTCCTTTGGGACCTTGGCACCTACGGGGGCGGGCTCAGAGGTGCCATAGAAGTCTTCGTATTCCTGCCTCTTAGAGGACCTGTGCTTGCTTGACAGGGTCGAATCCCTGAACTTGGATGACTTGATGCTCTTCTGGGCCTTTGCTGCTGTCTCAGTTACAGCATTAGGAGCGTGAACTGTCTCGGGCCTCATTGGCGTGCTGCTGAGCTTCTGCGCTGCTGGAGTCTCCTCTCTGTCCTCGGGCATCACCAGCCTGTCCCTGAGCGGAGTGAGATCTGTTTTCCTCTTCCCTTGTTGCATGCGTTGAGGGATGACACTGAGAAGCAGTTTCCCCACTCCCTCAATAGCAAGTTTCAGGAGATCAGCAACAAGCGTCCCCAGGGATGGCCATCCAGCTCCTGGTTCCTCTTTCAGGCTCTCCACAACCAGAGGTGGCTTCCCAATTGTGCTACTCTCATGCTGCTCGTTTTCAGGTGCATCTACCTGCAATGGCATCAACAGAAACAAACTACTACATTAGCAGATTTTTTTTCTTCCATTTTCAGCGAATTATAAAATTGAGAAAGAACGGTGCTATTTAAGCATGATTAGGAATACTGTGATGCCAAGCTTCAATGAGATTACAAATATGCATATCAAGTGGAAAAATCTATGTAAAAATGGACAATACAGGGCCAGCATACACAAATAACTACCTTCTCGGAGCCTGAGAATCCAAACCCATGTTGGAAACCAGAAAAGATATATCCAGCCACAACAGCACCAATGACCAATATGAGATCTGTGTAATGATTAAAACAATACTGATGATAAAGTATGGAACTGAATTTCACAAATAGTAGATCAAGAGCGTGTTTGGATTGCGTCCTGCCAGGCAGATGCCTGCCAGGCAACCGAAATCAGACGCCTGGGAGCGAGCCCTGCCTGGGCCAGGCAACTCCGGTGGAGAGCAAACCAAACAGGCCCCAAGTACATGGACAAGTGAATTACTACCCATCAATACTGATACATTTGCCAGACATAATCAGCATGAAATTAATCACGAATCAAGTACATGGACAATTTGAAGGAGTAATGGAAAAGGTCGATATTCAGATAACTACATGTATGGTATCCAGCGATAACAAAATTTATGGTAGACAAACAGAACTAAGAACTCAGACAAAGAAGCCAGGATTTTTGCAGATAAATCTCAACATGTAAGATACAGGGAGATGGTAGATCCAATCATCCCAAGTTACAGTCCACTAATACTTTCAGTGTTAAAATCAAAATATAGCTTGTGCACCTATGACCTCTTTGATACTATTCAAAACAGACGTGAATGGAAAGAATGGTTTAACATGTTCTTCTAAAAGGATGAGAAAGTAATCATGTCATTGATGCCATCAATGCTATTCTAAAAGGGAGAGAAAGTGGTCTTCTCATCTACTCCCTCCGTCCATCTATCGGCATCATTTTAGCCTCCGACGCGATGACCAAGGAGCACCAAAGCCACGCCGATTTGCAATTAATCGCTGCGCTGTTGTTTACTCTCCAGCGTCTGGTCCACTTCCCGATTAATCCCGCGCTCACGTCGCTGAAAACACCGTTATCGTGGCCGTAATCGCGCGCTCAAGTAGGAAGGCACGCGCGGCCGCGGAAGCTAATTTCTGCATACAGGGACTGCGCGCTCATGCATCCTGTGTTCCCGCGCCGTGATGGAAGTTCCATCAGATGCCTTCCATGCCAAAAATTTCGCCACCAGAGAGAAAAAATAGGCAACAGATCAACTTGCAGAAATTAGGCAACAGCGGCCGTGATGGAAACTAATTTCTGCATGCACCAGAGATAAAAAAAAAGAGAAGGCAACAGAGCTAAGCAGCGGCGTGGTACGTAACGCCGCGAGACTTGCAGTACGTGAGGGCGAGAAAACGGAGCGGACGGAGTCGTATACGACGATAACGGGAGTGCCGCATCCTAGTAACTCCGCATGGCATACGAGGCGTCTCGCGCGCAACAACCCGAGAAAAACCAGGAGGGGCCAGCTTAGACGATGACGACTCCTGGAAAACGCTATTTTGCTCAAATGACGCCGATAAATGGACGGAGGGAGTATGTTCTTCTAAAAGGGTGTGAAAGGGATATTGCATCTACATCATGACTAATTAAAGAGGGTCAGAAGAATTTTAAAAGGTGAATATCTATATGTATAAAAGAACTTCAAATAAGACATTTCACAACCAAGAGACACATTAGCACAGATGTTATCCCAGTTTTCCTAAACTGATCTATCAGGACCATTAGTTTAGTCATCAAGTAGGGCATGGAAAAGATAGCTTTACAGCATCAGAAACAAAAGGAAAAGGAGAAGAGGACCAACACGGCAGTACTACCAATTCTTGTACCTCATATACTAAACGACACATAAACACTACCAGAATTCTCCTTTTACTTTGTCTTTCAAGAATATTACACGGTGCAAAATGTTCTTCTCACATCTACTTGAACCCTAGACTCGCAACAAAATTATGGTGACAGCATACAAGTGATAGTTAGCTTTATGGCAAAGCATATAGCATGGAGAGTTATACTTCTGGCATATAAGGAATAAAGTGTATCATTTCTAACATGGATCATATAGTAGTACTATGTATAGACATGGTTTATAAGTCAGCATCTGACTTTTGCATTTCTTGATTTGTTCAACCTTCTAATTTAACTCCAATCATGCCACCTCAGTTTTAAAAGGCATTCATAGTCTGAATGTCTGATACTTCCATATGGGAGGTCTTAGTGTGTGACACTGTGACCAGCCTACTAAAACTGAGAAAGTATAATCCAGTGGACTTGAAAAAAAAAATTGATCCCAAAAGAGAAAGACGTAATTCTAAATACAAAGTACCGAAGGATTTTACTATTCTGCCTGTTCAACCCCTATGTTTAGTATCATGGATAATAATCCAGTACAGGACCATGAAAAGGTTTAAGCACAACACTTGACAGATTTTTACTTCTGTTCTACAACTAACTATATCGGCATGAGCCTTTCCTCTAGGACCTCATCACCTCAAGAACGTGACAATTGATGAGTTGGATTGTTACCTTTCCTTATCAGAAAGGTCTATATGTACTGTACAGGAAATAGAAACAAGTGCAAGAGAATGGACCTGAAGATAGGAGTGCAGAATCCTGGTAAGTACAGTCTTCTTGTGGAAGAGAAATCTTCCTAAGGGCTGCATTTCCACGGTCAATAACCAGAAGAGAACACATTTTCTTCACATACACCACGTCAAAATCTGTAGAGAACTTTGCATCTTCACTGGGGCCATCCCTGTAGCCTGGGATATTTGATTTCCCACCCGCAATGGTGGTCACTCCTGAACAGAATTTTCATTCACCAACTGTTAACACTTAACACAACTATTGCATGAAGTGTATATCTATTTAACTACCGATCACCTGATTCTCCAATCTTTCGAATCGCCAAGTTTGCTGTATCAGCAACATAAACATTGCCCATATCATCCACGGCAACGCCTGTGGGGCGCTTGAATCGGGCATCACTTGGTTTACCATCTATATGACCAGAATGACCCTGGAAAGAACCAGCGACCAGTCTTCCCCTGCTATCTGCAGAGGACCTATTATCAATCTACACTGCTGGACTTATGTTTACAGTATTTATATCATACTTCTTTAAGCATTGATGCGTGTTTCAGTTCTGTTTGTTTTCATTTTACCTGTCCATGGCACTTCCCTAAATATGCATACTATTAATTAACTGGAGACCAGAACTTCACCTATTACTATATGATTTGATCATAACCCATCGTTGTACCCATGAGGCCATGACCAAGTCATACAAGGAAGGCGCAGGGAGTCTTAGGAGCAGAGTGATATTACATTTGGAAAGACCAGTTATTCAATCATTGCTAGTAACAGTGTAGCCTTAGTATGCATGGATATTAACACTAGCACGCCAAAGAAAGCCGGCTCAAAATGCTATAGTTTGTTCTTTAAGCCTTCCTAACCCATAATCATGTTAGCTGTGAATTATGCCAAAAAAGGACCAAGCAGGTGGGAGGAAGAGAACATACACTCAGAAAGTGGTGGGGTTATCCGCACAATGTTGCTATGTGCCGAGTCGACTGCAAGGAGCTCCCCGCCCTCAACAGGAGACACTCTTATGGTGTGTGGCGTGACACCAAGCTTGTCACCCTCAACAAGTGTCTCTACAAAGTAGCCGCTCTCAAACTGCAGCGCTACCCCCACGTGGCCATCTGCCAAAATAGTCGAACACCGTGAGCAAGAGACAGAACAAAAGCACAAATATCAGCAGCTGCGGTAAAGTATGATCAACGGCTTAGGTCACAATGAGAAAAAAAATCCAAACCAGTTGAGCCTCTGCTGGATCTGGACTCGGCTAAGAGCCTAAGACATTCTAAGAGCAGGATGTGTAAACTTCCGAATCATTAGGTTGGCCCTGTTGGGGTTTATTTTGGTGGCTTAGCAAGTTACCTCACCAATACAGGGCCAGCTGAACAGAAGGCGAATAATACTGAAATAATTATGAAAAATTCGAAAAATGTCGGAGCTCGTCCCCATTGAGAAGATGGTTTACCCCAACCCTCCCTCTCCCTCTCCCTCCTTTCCTCCCTCCCATTATCCATTATCTCCCCTTTTGTTGTGCTCTCTATTATTCCCCACTCATCCTTTTCTTCTCGGGAAACACTAGTCGCTAGTGGAGTGGAACCGTGTTCATCAATCATCTGTACTATAATAGAAGCGGAAGCCGACCGCGTCCCACAGCAGCAATCGCTGCGAACAACGAAAATCGAAACCGCAGGCCGCCCCTTTTGCTGCGCGAGGGATTCCGCAGGTGAACTAGGGAGCGACGGCGACTCACCGGCGTACTGGGGGTGGCCGGGCAGCTTGGGCCCGTGCGACGAGGGGGCAGCCCGCGGCCACCTGACGACCGACGACAGCTGCTTCACGATGCTGCCTGCGCGCGGCACAAAAGGCAGGAGTACGTATTAGTAGAAACTCGGGATCGAATCGCCCCTATCGGGCCGCATTTTAACAGGGAACGATAGCGGCGGCGACGGGCGAGCGAACCTGTGGGAGGGGCGAAGGCGGCCGCGCCGGGTCGGAAGGCGGCGGCGAGGAGGAGCAGGAGCACGAGCGGGAGCGGGGATCTCAGTCCCATGGCGAGGGTCTGCTGCTGAGAGCGGTGACTGCTGTGGACTGTGGTTGGGGAGAAAGCGAGAGGCAAAGGGGCTTTTCGCTTTCAGACGGCGGCCTCGGTGACGTTCTCGGTTCTCTTGTGCTCCGCGGGCGCGTGCAGCGAGTGCGACTGCCAAGTCTTGTCTTGTGTCGTGTACTCGTACGCCGCAGACCCGCAGCGCCGATTCCGCTGCCGACTTCTCTGCGACTGCATTAACCCCATGTTCCCTCTGGCATGTGGAACCCCGGCGGCCCGGCGATCGGCGGCCATACTTGGCACTGGCGTTTATTAAGGCCAGCTGGATTTATTATAATCAGGATTATATATAAAAATCTGTCGAAAGGATACAAAGATATAAAGAACAATTTTTATACAAATAGTTCTTTAAATAATATTAATAATTTAAAAAGTGAGTTTAAAGAAGACTCTTGCAGATGCTTAAAACTAGAAATCATGTTTTTTTAATTCTCTACGATAAATATAAAAAAGGATAAAAAGAATCTGGTGGCACATAGTTCTCCCTCTGTCCAGAAAAATATACAACTATGGGTTGCGTGGCAGAAAAAGTAGTTCACGTTTGACCAAGTTTCTACTGAATAGTATTCATATTTATGACTTCAAATCAATTTATTCATATTTATGACTTCAAATCAATTTATTATGAAAACATATTTCATAATTAATCTAATGATATTTATTTGATATCATAAATATTGATACTTTTTTATATATAATTAGTCAAACTTAAGATATTAAAACGTGACACTGTGCTAGAATTGCTCGTTTTCATAGACAAGGAGTATAAGACAAAATAGTAATTTCTATTGGACATTATTTGTGTCTATCTATGGATTAATTTCTATTGGACATTATTTGTGTCTATCTATGGATTAGGTGAACACGGTTTCAGGCATCCGGAGGAGTCCAATGGGCAAAAAAAAGGTCCACAAAGCCCAACTTTTCTGAACAACTAAAAGGGTTGGGCCTTTGGGGCAGGAGTGAGTGACATAGGTGCAAAGCACTCCCCCCCCCCAAAAAAAGGTGCAAAACACTTTTTTTTTAAATCATACGATAATGATATGATGCGCGTGTCGTCCGTCCGGACACCGCGCGTCCGCACTCCGTCTTATCCAGCGCCGCTCGTCAGTCAACTTCTAAAAAAAAAAACAGCGCTGCTCCCTTCTCTAGCCGCAAGCAGCGCGTCGCCGCTCACCATGGCCGTCTCCAACGTGGTGGCGCCGCATCCGCCCCATCCCGTGCTGCCCGCCACCGCCGCTATCCCCCGCGACACCTCCATCCCGCGCAGCGGCCCACTCCGGTGCGCCGCCACCATCCCCTGTAGCGCCATGCTGTGCTCCGTCCTCCGCCACGTCTAGGCCAGGTGGCCAAGAGAGGGGTCGTCGCAGGTCAGGCCCAGGCCAAGCACATGCGGAGCTAGCCACTGCCAGACCGCATGTTGCAAGCTTATGTTTCAAGTATTTTAGATGTTTTATAGGTATGTTTCAAGTGTTTTATGTGGATGTTGCAAAAGTAGATCCAGATGTTGCATACGTTGTAAGTGTTTCACAGACACATTACAAGCGTTTGTTCAAAATGTTTTCAGACGTATGTTTGCAAGCGATTTTTGATTTAGATGTTGCATATGTTTCACACATGTTGTAAGACTATGTTCCAATGATTTTAGCTGTTTCAGTCTTATGTTGCAGTAAGTGTTTTCATGTTGCACGTTGCAAGTGCTTTTTATTGAATGTTGCATATGTTTCAAGTATATGTTGCAAATGTTTCATCTACTTCAGACATATATTTGCATTAAGTGTTTCATGTTTCAGAGGTGTGTTCAGTGAGTCATGGGGCACCTAGGGTCCTACGGATGGGGGCGTGCTCGTCCTCATCCCGGCTCCAGGGTCCCGCCCACGCGTAGAGAGGGAAGCGGTGTCGCTAGGAAGGAGTCGCGAACACTGCGATAAGGGCAAGGTGCGCGTACGGGGCGTTGCTAGGCGGACGGGGATGGGCTGCGTGGGCATCTAGACGCACATCCGCCCCGAATGTGCAGGCGCTAGCCACGCCCAAAATCATACGCTCGTACTTACTTCGTCTTACAATACAATACATTTCAAAAAAAATTAAGTAACTTAAGTAAATATTTAAATTGTGTGTCATGGATAAAAACCAGTTAAAGAGTTTTCTTCTTAAATTGTGGCTTTTTTTAACAGATTTTGCTAAATCCGAATTTTTTTAGATAATGGGAAAAAGTTCTGACTTCAGCATACTTTGAAAAAGAAGCATCAGTCCAAAATACAAGAAAACACACCCAAATTTTAGAACATTAAATCTAAACATATGTACCACATGGAATACCATTGATTTCAGTACAAATTTTAGAAGTCATAATGCACTGTATTATAGGACGGAGAAAGTAGACACAAAATTGTAGTGTTTTCTAATTTCTATATTTATAGACGTGAAATATGCACAAATGCGAGAACTAAAAATACTAGCCCATCAATTACACACCTAATAGTTTAAAGAGAAACATATATTCTAAAAGATGCATTAAGTATTACTAACAATAACAAATATGTCTTTGTGTTGCATTTAGTTTGTTGTACAGTCATTTCGAGCTCATATCTTTGTTGAATTTATTTATTGGCCTTGAGCCCTTATTTCAAATAAATCATAAGGCTTATACTAAATGTTAAGTGTAATAATAAAAGATCAATTGAAGAGAAATTGATTGTAGATTAGCTCGGCTTAAATAAGTGACTATTGTATGTATCTATTGTGAAACTGAGAAGTGAAGGCGAGCCACACCTACACCCGTAACATGCCAAGTTCAGATTAGCACAAATGCAAAAATGAAAAATCTGAGAAAACAAAAATTGGTATATCAGAGTAGCAGATTGCACAAATGCGCCTATCAGACGCTGAGAGAGCACCGATTCGCGCTCTGGATCATATGGATGGGATCTCCAGAATAGCAGGGATTGGCTTGTTGTATCTATCCACCAGAAATCATATTATGTTTGCAATCTGTCACCCCACGGAACTCACACACAACAGATTAGGCATCAGCACCTGGATCTTCTTAATGCTAGTTCTATGCACATCTGCAGGCGAACGACTTATAGGATGGAGGTTTCTACTACATTAGCTATCAAGTACTAATGGTTTCCACAATGCTTTAGATTTCCTTTCTCCCTTCTGATATTGATTAACGCTCCTGCATAACAGTGGGAGTATCCAATAGTAAATTGTCCAGCATTTCGCACTAATGAACATGCACTGTAATCAATTATAGTTTGATTTAAATATTAAAAGCACTGGAACATAGGTTTAAGACTTTTAGTAAATTAAGCTGCAAGTATATATATTTAACAAAGGATCAATAGGGCAAACCCAACAGGAGCCACAACCAACAAAGAGAATGGTAATATAATAATAGTAAAAGGAGATCAAAATAGCAAAGGATAAGACTGACAACAAAACTGGGTTTAAGTCAAGTCTTCAAGCCGATTTTCTCATCTGAAATGACAGGTATATACTGATGCATGACAATGTGGCAGGGGTTTAAAAAGCCTAGCTACATGCTATATTATTCCTATGCAAGAAAAACCATAACTTGAAGAGGACCTTTCAATTTTAGGTTCCAAAAGGCTCAGCCACAATTACCTCCAAGCAGCAGCAGCAGCAGCAGCACCACCACCATAAATAAAAAACAAAAGAAAAAAAATCCCCTCCTTTCTGTTCCTGAACTAACAATGAACCAATACACAAATAATATGCATGCGCATGTGATGGTTCACTTGCATACTGGCTGATGAGCACAATAAATATCCTCCCAAGGCCCAAGCACTAAACTCTTTGAATGCATCTTAATTTTGTTTCACTGTCATCTGCCATGAAACAATTAACAGTACTGGTACTGAACCATCAGGACAGCAACAGTAACAAGAGTATGAAGTAACAGGCATACAAGTAATGATTGTAGAATGAAATAATGACAGGAGTTCCTTGCCATTGGTACGATTACAACCTAAAAGCAACACTCAAGGTTATCTGTATCATCTCTAAAATTACATGAAAGCTCACGACTAAGGACACCAGCGGCGGTGGAGCTAGCCAAAAAACAATGGTGGCACACTATAGTAAATAATTTTTGTCTAAAGGGAAAATATATTGTCAAAACAAGACAATCACCAATTCACCATATAAAGTTTGATTTACCCGGTGCCTGTGTACCACCTAGAAGCAACATTCAGGTACATTAGTCGTGTAGGAAGGAAGCTTAGATGATTTAACTCCTCACTGCAGGGGAAACCTTAAATGTTACTGTAATATCCACTATCGATAAAAAGCATAAGGAAAGAAACAGTTAAGAGGTATAAAATTGATAGGGATTGTTCTACAAAGAACATGACATGAAGCAGGAACATATGATACATGCTATTAAAAGATCCATTACTATCAAAATGCATAGGAAACAATCACTAAGAGGTGTGTTGAGTGAAAAGGATTGTTCTGCAAAGAAGACTTTTCAGACCGTATAACAAAACTGCTGTGGGACAACAATCAACACAAATTTGTTTGTACATATGCATGAAGTTGTGGCAACCATGTACTCAGGTCAAGCAGTTAAATCCTAGGGGTAGCTGGTGAGGAGCAATGCTGCTGACTGAGGACTATGAAAGAGGAATTTAAGGCTCTCTTATGCTGATCGCCATGACTCATGAAGGAATCAGCTAACAATTTTCAATTGCACACACACCTCTTATGTCATGAGTGGCCAACTGCCTTCCCACCAAATGTCAAGATAATATACAAGTACTTATTGGATCTAATTCACTGCAGAGAGGGAAGAATACGATTCAACAAAGAAATTCCAAGTGTACTATTCACATCCCACCTTTTTCTCTTAACTATAATTTAAATTTCACATTGATAGGATACAGTTGCCCCAATGACCACACCAACATTAGCATCAACATGTAGTCAGGCTTCATGACTCAGATCTTGAATCTTTGTCACAAAAAAAATATTCATCCATCACTCAAAGAGTTGACTGTGTATACATGTTTCTAGGTCCATGTTTGATAATGCTGACATTGAGTAGAGTTACAGAACTGCAGGAAACAGAAGCACATTGTTGTAGACGCTTTCATTGGGAAGCAATACAGCAGGAAGAAGAAGGCGCCAGCCTCTAGTGGCTAATTTTAGGCCATAGTTATATTTTCCTATAAGTTAGGATCTGGTGAGTCAGTTTGTTAGTGCCCAGCTGGCCATTGGGAGATATAACAAAGGGCCGGCTGATTAGGGGAGTTAAACAGAAATAGAGTCATCACGTTCAGAGCCTCCCAGGGAGGGCGAACCTGCTCTATCGCTGCTGCTATCTCTAGGTTTAGCCATTGTAATCATTCCCAATTCATCAATAAAGATCAGCCAGATTACTAGCTCTATCATCTGCTATCAGAGACCTCTCGATCCTCTCGCCTGTCATGGGTGACAATCTCAAGACCGCTCTGGACGCCATCCTTGCCGATCTCTCCTCCATCAAGAACGAGGTGACGACGATCAAGGGCGACCAGAGCCGTCTCAACGTGGCCGTCAACCGGCTGCAATCGGACCACCACTCCTCCGGCGGCTCCCACAGTGGCAGGGACACGGACCACGGCGCCCCTCCCCCTCCGCCTCCGCGCGAGCATGCCAAGCACAAGCTCCGGTTCCTGCGCTACGACGGCAGCACCGATCCGGTGCTCTGGCTCTACAAGGCCGAACAGCTCTTCCGCGCCGATCGCACGGCGGATGACGAGCGGGTGTGGCTCGCCTCCTTCTACATGGAAGGCGCTGCCCAGGACTGGTATTACCGCCTCGAGTAGAACCACGGCGCTCCGACGTGGGCGGACTTCGTCGACAAGGTGCAGCGGGCGTTCGGGTCGCCGGCACGCAGCAATCCGCTCGGTGCCCTCATGAAGTTACGCCGCACCGGGACGGTCGAAGAGTACAAGGCGCAGTTCTTGCCCATGCTCGCGCGCTGCAGGCCGCTCCAGGAGCAGGACCAAATCGACATCTTCACCGGCGTGCTCCGCAATCCGCTACAGACTGACGCCGAGCTCCAACATCCGCCACGCTCCACGCTCGACGACGCCATGTCCCTCGCGCGGGCTTTCGAACGGCGTCCCCACCCGCACCAACCCGCCGATTCGGCCGCGCCCCCTGCCCGCGACTTCCGCACCCCACACGCCTCCTCCCGCGGTCAAAATTGCGTCGCTGACGCCGCCGGCTCCAACCAAAGGCCCACCGCCAGCAGGCCCGCGTTTCAAGCGGCTGACGCGGCAAGAGATGGCCCAGCGCAGAGCGGAGGGCCTCTGCTTCAACTGCCCCAAAAATTTCACGAAGGACCACAACTGCATGAAGAAGGGCTTGTACCTGATGGAGCTCGATGATGACACCCCAGTCGAGGACGCTGCGGTGGAGGAGTCTTCCCCTACCGACGACGTCGAGATCTCCCTCCACGCCCTCACCGGCATCAAGACGACGGACACCATGCACCTGGCCACCTTTGTCGAAGGCGCATCCGTCCGGGCTCTGGTGGACTCGGGGTCCACTCACTCCATCGCCGCGGACACTGCACGTCGCCTCGGCCTCCAGCCCGCGCCGCGCCCCGGCCTCACCGTGGGCGTTGCCAACGGGGAACGCGTCCGGTCCGCCGGGGTCTGCGCGGCCATCCCCGTCACCATTGGCACCGAGGAGTTCCACATCGACCTCTTCGTCTTGCCCCTCCCAGGGCCCCTGCTCTCCACGCCGCCGAGCGCCTGGACCTCCTTCAACTGCTCCTGGCTGAGTTCGGCGATATCTTCGACACGCCGTCATCACTGCCTCCAGTTCGTGCCTGTGATCATCGGATTCATCTCCTACCAGGCACGGCCCCGATTGCGGTACGGCCCTACCGCCACCCCCAGCTGCTCAAAGATGAGCTGGAGAGGCAGTGCGCCGACATGCTCCAGCATATTTAATTGTGTCCGATAACACAGCTAGAACAATTGTCTGTAAAGATAGCTGCCATATAGTTCAACTGCATAACCTGCATAAGTTGGAGGATTGCTCTTTTCACAGAAATTTTATGCCTTTCAATTCAAGTAAGGTGCATAAAAACAGATGGACCAAAGTCTGGTCTTTCTTATGTCATCAATAAAAATAAGTATGCCTTAAAAACTTGGCATAGTTTAGTTTGATCTATGAAGATTCACTATATTGTAGTGCAATGCAGATGTGAAGTGTATATATAACTATATAAAGAGGACCACTCCATAAACGCGCGAGTACATGACCAGTCAGATTACCATCCCAAGCTATTGCGATTTCCAAATTCCAAGTATTAGTTTTAAGAATTTTGCTTTCAGGATGCACATAACATTCATGGAAATGAGAGGATGGAGGAACCAGCCAGACAATACTTCAAGAGTTGTGACATTGTTTTTCTTTTCTGTGATATAATGGAATTGTGAGAAATCGGGCCATAACAAGCATGTGGGCGCAGGAAGTAGAACTTCTCCTCTGGTGCTGCAATATCTATGCATAGTATCGATTGCTAGTTAATTTTATGAGCAGAGCATTCGATTAACACTTGGCATCAAATTCATAAGGAGGTTGGCAGGAAGAGAAGACAATGCATCAAGGCGAACCAAGCAATGACTCTACACAGGGAAAAGAAAAGGAGACCGTACCTGGGTGGGAAGTAGCGGATGACGCTGGCCTGGTTGAAGGTGCACCCTCCTTGCGGAGGATGTGGGTGAATGTGTCGTGATGCCATTGTATGAGTACGTGAGGGCCACCAGCCACAATATCTCATCCTAGTTCTGGTCTTCAGGAGCAGCAGCTTGACACATTCTGCTGGCACGGCCCCCATCTTGGCCACCATGGTCACCGCACCTCCCATGGAGAAGTCCATCACCAGATTTGACAGTGAGCTCACACGGCTCATCAGCCTCCCCTCCTTTCAGTTGTTCAGTGCTGCCAGCGCGGTGGCAATTACTCAGCTCTCCAGCGAGCGGCGATGATCAGAATCGGAGATAGATGGGGATTAAAGGCTCCTTTACTCCTCTTTTGAGTGACTGACAGATTATTGGATGCGAAATCCACTTGAATCCTGTCTCTTCGAAAAAGGTCGGATGCCCCTGCAAAAATGTCATGTGCATTTGCACATGACATGCTCATATGATGTTAGCGGAAATCCAAATCTGGAACTGAAGAACCTTCCTCAAGAGTCAAGAGATCCATCTCTTTTTCCTTAGAAAAATAGTTTGGTCATGACCTACTGAAGGATTTGGATTTACATTTCACATTGATAGGATACTATTGCCCCAAATGATCGAAGAAACACCAACATGTACATGTATTCATACTTGAAGGATTAGATCTACACATTAAATATAGTTTCAGCACTCTCTGTTTACAAGAGTTATCTTTTGTTGCAATGACTCCATCTCCTTCCTTGTGAGAAAAATCTCCAGGAAAATTTTTCCTTTTTCTTTCCCCAATAATTTTTGTGAACTTCATCAGGCTCAGGGATTCTTGCTTGTGCATCCCATTTGAATGATCTGGACTTCGACCAAGGATCTGAATACATTCATAACCATATGCACATCATTTCACTGCCCCTTTCATTTTGCGCTCAAAATTGTGACCATGCCGGCTCACCAACTGTTGGAGTTGATCGTACCCAGAAAGAACTCCAGCTCCTGCTATCCCTGAGAGAATATTTGCACCAACACCTCTGAATAATGTGAAGAACCCTTCGGTTGAAACTATCAGTTTTACTGCATGGAAACCGTTCTTGTATTTAAATGGTTGTCCTGAGGTCAACATCATTCTACGACGGACCGTGTCGAATGGATAGGCACAGGCCCCAGAGAATGTAGTTATTGCCCAGCCCAAGGCAAAACTGGCGAAGAAATTCCCCTGAATAGCAACAAAAACAAAAGTTAAGGGTGCCATATAGAACTTAGCAGGAAACTCCTGTGATAGTCATGCTACTTCACGAGACTATCAGTACCTCCAATGGGCCTACTAGAACTAGAGGCTTCATGCTATCATAGATACCAAAATATAGACCCCGGTACAAGGTGATTCCCATAATAGACACACTGAAACCTCGATATAGTCCAGACATGCCATCGGTTGTAAGTGTCTTCTTGTAAACATCCAGCAACCCCCTGAACTGGCGTTTGGTTCCCCGTGATTCAATTGTATCAGTAGCTAGCCTTGTTCTTGCATAATCTAGATGGTATAGCAGCAATGATGTTGTAGCTCCTGCAGCACTGCCAGAGGCTACATTTCCTGCTAACCACTTCCAGTTTCCGTCTTTCTCCCTGTCATAGCCAAAGAAGCTTTTGAAGTAGCCCCTGAATGCAAAGTTAAAAGCCTGCACAATGGAAGTTTCATTTAGGTTGATTTTTCGTCATGAAGGGAAAAAACTGATTCATTTTCCGGCCTCAGCATCTTTAAAGAAGAAGCCTCAGTTCACACAATACAGAGTTTAGCTTGCGCTACCTCACACTCAACTCTACGTGCAAAACACATATAAGTGACAAGTTCAAAATTATTGACAAAGCATAAATATGAATGGCCACCCATAGGACACAAAGAACCTTATCACCACCGCCTCCAGGGTGCGGTGCGACACACATAGATAATGCAACATTAAGCACAGTTAGACAAACTACAGGAAACAGCAGCACATGCTCATTTAACTGTTCGATAACATAGCTCGAATAATTGGCTGTAAAGATAGCTGCCATATAGTTCAACCGCGTGACCTGCATAAGGTTGGAGGATTGCTCTTTTCACAGAAATTATAAGCCTTTGTAGTAAAATGCATAAAAACATACAGATGCAAATGCTGACTCTGGTTGTTTTTTTTATGTCATCACTAAAACTAAGTATGACTTAAAATTTGACCTACTTTTTTTTCTGAACACGCACAAGAGCTGTGTATCATTATATTAAGAATTGAGAAAGAAAATAAAGGGAAAGAGCCCTTACAAACACGCACCCCACACTCTCCTTAAACAGGCCTAGTGTATTTTCATTTATGAAGATTCACTACCTCAAAGTGCAGTGCAGATGTTAATCACTGAATTGTATATATAGAGGAAGCACTCCTTGTTCACATAAGTGGTCATATTACCAAGCCATTTCTCTTTCCAAAACTGTTTTAGCAAAATGCACACAGCTTTCTTTGCGACGAAAGGATGGAGGATACTGGCGAGACAACACCTTTAGAATTGTTTGTTTTTCTCTTTTCTGTGATGGAAAGGAATTGTGAACACTGGAGGCCGTAACAAACATGTGGGTTCAGGAACTGTGAGTCCCCGAAGAAGAAGAAAAAAGAATTCTGGATTTCTGGCTCTGTAATTTCAGCACTCAGGATCGGATAATCCATGCATAGCATTGATTGCTAATTAATTTTGTGAGTATGGCATTCGATAGAGTCGGTGTCAAATTCATAAGCAGCTTGACAGTAAGAGAAGGCAATGCACATATGCAATGGAGGCGCATCAAGCAATCGTATACTAAGGAAAAGGAGAAAAAAAAAACGGAGACGGACCTGGGTGGGGAAGTAGCGGATGACGTTGGCCTGGTTGCCGCGCCACAGAGCGGCGGGGCCCTCCTCGCGGAGGACGCGGGCGAAGGCGTCGGCGATGCCCTTGTAGGGGCGCGTGAGGGTGCCCCGGCGCAGCATCTCGGCCTGGTTCTGGAGCAGCAGCTTGACGCGCTCGACCGGCGCGGCCCCCGTCTTGGCCACCACGGCGGCCGCGCCGCCCATGGCGAAGTCCGCCGCTACGCTCGCCGGCGACGTCGCAGGCCTCGGCGGCCTCTCCTGATTTCGTTCGTCGGGCGCGGCGGCCATCACTGGATGGCGGCGGTTGGTGGCTTGGTGGGAAGAGACGGATTTGTTTTCCGCCTCGATCGACATCAATCTGACGTGTGACGTGGAAAGAGACGGATTGTTGGACGCCAAATCAATTGGGATTTCTATTTTACTTTTTCAGAAATGGTATACAAGACGCACGTGTTTTATAAAAAAAACATATAGATTTTTTTTAGTAAAAAAATCACCTCGACTGTCTTGAGCGACTTCTACGCCGACTACCTCCTTCGCGCATGGAGAATCGCTCCCAGCTAGGGGCCCACGACGCGACGACCTATGATGATTGGGCAGGCAATGGAATCAACCGCTCTGTAATTTGTCTTTTCATAGAAAAAAATTATTTTCTGTGATATGTGGATCTGTGATATTGTGATTGTCTAAAGGTAGAAGAAAGCTAGAGATAGAAGAAGAATGGAAGCTGTTGGATCTTAATCTTATGGTGTAAAAAAATTCATGTGTTGAACATTGTGCAATTGACAGACTCTTTTTTTCCAACACTCGGATTGTCACTGTAAAATATAAAATTGTCCCCAGAAAACAGTAACCGACCTACGCTTTCGGTGTTTTCGCTGACGTGGCACGACACTTGAGTGCGCCAGCGTGGAACTTGACGTCTCCAGCTGCCTCCATCTGCCTAGACCAATGGTGCTAGCTAAAGTTGAGCATGCAGCCCGCGGGCCAGAGGCACAGCCCAAAGCACGGCGATTTGGCCCGGCCCGAGCACGGCACGGCCCGTTCCCCAACCGTGCCCGTGCCGGCCCGAAGCACGTAGCAGGCCGTGCTTGGGCCGAAGCCTCGGCCCGGCACGGAAAATGGTCAAAGGCCCGGTAGCGGCCCGTGACCAACAAGGCATGCTAAGAGATGACGTTTCCTTGGCCTGCTAAGAGCCCACGATGGAACCCTAACTAACTTCCCACCCGGCCACCCTACTCCCACCCCGCCGCACTTCCTTCTCACCATCGCGGCATCGCACGTCGCACGGCGCGGGCGCGCCTCCCTCTCGCGAAGCCGCAAGCACGTCGGCGGTCGCCGCCACTCGACGCAACGCCCCTCCCCTCCTCCTCGCTGACGACGGCGGTGAAGAGCAGCGAGGCCTCCTCGTCGCCTCCTCCTCCCATGCGGGCACAAGCGTCCGTCACGAGTCGGCGCCGCCTCCTCCTCCGCCGCCGTAGCGCGTAGCGGCGGCCCCGCTTATTCTTCTTCTCCAGCCCAGAGCACCTTGCGGCCGATGGCATCGATCGCCTCGTCCCCTTCGCCCTCTTCCCGCCACCACCGCGACGACAACATCGAAGCGCCGGCGGCGCGGCATCCCTTCCACCTCTCTCTATTTTTTTTAAGGCCTAGCACGAGCCCGCTATACTATTGGGCCCGTGCTCAACGGGCTAGCACGGCCCGTAAATTGACCCACATGCCGTGCCTGGACCGGCGAGCAGGCACGGTGTACTGTGGAGGCACGGCCCGTCGGCACGCCGGGCCATACAGGCCCGTGCCCTATCGGGCCATGCCTAGCACAGGCCCGTGCCATGCCGGGTCGTGCCGGCCCGTTGCTCAACTTTAGTGCTAGCAACTGCCCGTCAGCTCCCTTCTCTGCTGGTCACTGCTATTGGGGTCTGGCTGTCACTACCTTCTTCCTCCCTTCCATCCCAACGAGAGCAGAGCAGGGGCACCGGTGCTGCTCGTGGCTGGCGAGCTCCGCGCGCATCGGCATGGCCGCGGCTTGATTCCCCGCCAGGAAGACCACACTGGCGGCGAGGGCGGGCCTGGAGGACTCGATGAGCCTACTCGGCCCCTGGGCTGGCCGTGGCTCGGCGAAAAGTGGCTCGAGGCTCGCCTATCACGCGCTGGAGCAGACGAGTAGAGGCGCGCGGCAACGACGTAGCAGCGGCGGCCGAGGCGGCGGGGCGTCTGGAAGAGAGGAGCGCCGCAGGAGTTGGAGCACGGTGGAGGTAACTGAGGGCTGGGTTGGGACAGGGGAATGCGGAGCAGGGAGCTCACCGGCTTTTACCTCGCGGCGGCCGTCGTTCGCGAGCACGGCGACGATGGCGGCGGATTCTGGTGCTTCAGCTTTGGCAGGCTCAGCCAGCGTGCGCAAGGGAAGGAGGGAGGCGCGGCGGTCGCTGTGGAGTGCTCGGCTCGGCTCGGGATGGGGCGTGGCAGCGGGGACGGCTGTGGCGTCGACGAGCTCATCGACCGGCAATGGCGGGCGGCAGCGCTTTTGGCAGAGAGAGCGAGAAGCGAAGGAGAGAGTCGAGTGGAGCAGGGCGCGAGGGAGGGAGAGCTCGGCGTCCTCATAAGGCAGGCAGCGGGGCAGGACGGTGGCATGTGCGCACCTGGTGCGGCATGAGCGTGGCCTGGAGAGCTCCGCCGCACCGGCAGCCGCGCGGGCAGCAGTGGCCGCAACGACGACAAGTACTACTATACACGAGCGCCACCCGAGCAGTTCATCAGCTCCGAGGTCGTCTCCGCCAGGGGTCACCTGTGGAGGCTCGTCTGCTACTTGAGTGGCGACTCACACGAGCTCAATGGCGAGTACGCCTCCATCTTCCTCAGTCTCGTCAGCGACTCCGCGCGCAAATGTCCGGGTCAGAGCCATCTTCGAGGCCTTCCCGTCGGCATCACCGCCCTGCTCTGCGCGTTTCTAGACCTCCAGCACGATGCGCGCTCCAGCGTGGGTGCTGAGCTCGCGGCTCCGCCCCGTCCCGTGCCGCTCCATAGATAGAAGGTGGAGTCGAGGAGGGAAGAAGGTACTGGCAGCTGGCCCCACTAGCAGCGCCTGGGGTAACGGGAAGCTGCCGGTGTTGTTCGGGCTGGACGGACAAAGTAAGATGGAGGCGTCAAGTTTCGTGATCTGGCATGTCATGTCGGCGAAAATAACAAAATTATAGCTAAGTTACTATTATTCGGGACAATTTATTTGGCACGATAAAACTGACACTCGAAGAGTTGGCCAGCAATATCGATGACAAATAATTAGAAATCCCAAATCAAGCGGACGCACCCGGAAAAATATACAAACTTCCGTAATGCATCTCGAGAAGCACGAGATGATGTGTCACGGGGATAAATTACGAATTACAGGGATAAATAAATTACCACAAGCACGAGATTGAGGTGTTGCATTGAGAATTTTTGTTTGACGAAATGTTAGGCAAAGAAATTACCATAATATAAACCTGAATGAATGAACCAGATACACGGGAGGAGCTTGTCCACAGACCGCATAAAGAGAGCGGCGGCGGGCGGCGGGGCGGCACGCAGCGTGTGGCGGCGGCCTGGCGGGGGCTCCGGTGGAGAGGTGAGCCGGGCGGCGGCCAGCGCGGGACCAACTGTCGCTGCCGCGGCCAGTGCTGTATATTGATATTGCAATGTATTACACATGTTGTAATGGCTATACGCGTATATTTTAAGTGTATGTTCCAAATGTTTATCTGTTCTAGATGTAAGAGCATCTCTAATAGCCTCTCTAAATCTCACTATCTAAATCATTATTTGGAGAGTCATTTGCATAAAATCGCTTTCTATATCATTTCACTCTCCAATAATTTTTCTATATCTCGTGCGCAGTTTAGAGAGCCATTCTCGTCTTCTATTTTTTGCTAGCGAAAAATCGGGAATAGAAGATGGCTATATTTGAATAACCATTTACACTACACCACAACCTTTAAATAGCGACTGACTTGAAGTTGTTGAAAGGGGTGTACAGCGATGGACAGTCCATTGCTAAAAGTTATAGTGATGGACCCCTGCAGTTGCTAATGAAGCCGTCGTTGTATGTATACAACGACGGACATCATCTTTAGCAACGGACCATTCGACGGTCCAACTTTTAGTGACCGACAACATGTTAGACCTTTTAGCGACCGACAGTTTCATCGCAATAAGAACTTTTAGCAACTGACAGTCCATCTACCTAAATTAAATAGCTAAAAAAATTTAAACCAACTATATTTGAAACTGTGTAAATTGGACCAAACATTCAGAACCAATACAATATTGAAATTATATTATACATATTTTGAATGACATACACAAATGGGCACAATAATCATACTCTCATTCATTTATATCAAATGAGTACATATATAATCATGTCACTAGATAGCTTGTTAACATCAATCAAGCCGACATACAAGTATAGCTGAATAAAAAAACTAGCAATTGTCATGAGGTTGTACAGCAAACAAATATTGTTTGCCTGTTGAGCAAAACCATCATCCAAAAATGATCTAACATAATGATCAAAAGATAGCACCCTCAGGTTCTTGAGTCCAAAAGCTAAAACTACCAGGTTGTAGTCCAAAAGCAATCAAAACTGTAACAAGATCTTTAGTACACTCTAAAATTTTCTCTCCAGAAAGTGGAGTCGGTGCCATTCTAAGCTCCGTTGAACCAAATTTTTTATAATCAAACCTAAATGGGCGCTCTTCATGCAAGAACCTACGATGACCCATATAGCAAGTCTTGGTGCCATTACCAAGTTTAAATGAACATATATAAGAGTGGCAATCAGGACATGCTGCTTCACCAGATGTAACACAACCAGACACATATCCTAGACCTGGGAAATCTGTAATAGTCCACAGTACTGCAGCACGCAACTGGAAATGCTCTCCCTTTGAAGGATCATAAGTTCTAACTCCATTAACAAACATATCTAACAAATCCTCAAGAAGTGGTTGAAAATAAACATCCATATTATGACCAGGAGCATGCTTCCCAGGAATAAAAAATAAAGGATGAAGTTTGATTGCTTCATGCACATTGAAGGTGGAAAATTGTATGGTATACATATTTCGGGCCAAATGCTATAACTAACATTCTGGCTCCTATATGGATTAAATCCATCCGTGGTCAATGCCAGACGGATATTGCGGTTGTCCTTAGCAAACTCTGGATGTTTATCACCAAAGTCTTTCCAAAGAGGAGAATCTGTAGGATGCCTAAGAAAATCATCTCTTGTTCGCTCCTCATCATGCCAT